AAAGCCATAGAAATATTTGATAGTATAATAACACCCATACTGTCATATAACTCGGGACAAACTACCCATTGAAAAAGCCCATCTACGTTTCTGTTAACTATACCTTGGTGTAGGAAAAAAAAGCGAGCAACATGACTAATGGAAAACGAAAAACATCTCCTAAATTCATGTAACAAATATGATCACATAAGAGATAATTTTATATCTTCTCTTGACACCCAAAACCAACAATTAAACACAATCACCAGGCTTGTTCAAATCAACAGAAAGCGACGTAATAACAAAACTTTCAAAATTTGTTGCTTCCTGTTTCTCATTGCAAGAAAAACACCTTGAATCCACCAATGCTGCTTCAAATATGACTACTAGTAGATAAAAATGATATCTATAAATATATATATTACAACTATTTCAAATATCATTTATTCTTCAACTGCCTTATTAATTATATTATGTAAATAGATAATTTCGTTCTAATTAACTGTTACTGTTATTGTTACAAAACTATTCAAACGTTGTAACTAGCTTTAGCAATACCTGTACTGTTGGTTATGCTAATAAGGCGATTATTTCCTTATCCCAATGCCATATCTAAAAAAAACTTTAAGGTTGAATAATTTATAACGTTAAAACAGTATTTATAGGAACAGTAAAATTTCTTAAAATTGATTTAGCTTGACGATCAGTGTTTAAACATCTACATTACAGTATTGTTAAGATTTGATTTAAGATTTGTTGGAATAATATCACGTAGATATTGCCACAATTTCTTCGAATCACCTATATGATCTTCAACACAAGTTTTATAGTAGGTAGTTTTTGCATCCCTGATTAACGACACACAACGGTTTCTGTAGGTCTTATAATTTACCATATCGTTGATCGATTTGAAATTATCCCTTTGGGCCATACACTGAATAATCTCGTAGGTCATCTAATCAGGTTGTTGTTGTTTTTTCGCTCGTTTTTCTCTCAAAGGTAAATGTTTGTCGATCACGTCAAGGAATAAATTGTACCACGCCTCTAAAGCATTGTCAACATCATCAAATATATCGATTGTGTCCCAAGGGATTTGAGATAAGTCTTTACAAAAGGCTTCTTCGTTAAAGTTTTTATAGCATGTCTCTATATCGCTTATATATACATAATACAGTATCAAAAAATTTAGTTTTGTCGAAATTCTTGTATATTATTTTGTGGCTTCTCAATTTATTTAATATATAGAACGCAGACAAGATTATGCTTAGCTTACGATAAAATTAGGCTCAAATTTCGGCCACATCACAAATTAATTGCCAAAACAGCAAATTTGCCAACTTGGCTACTTTTTATAAACGTAAACATTGTCATTGACATTGTATTCAAGTAAATGGAATACGATGACCTACAAAGGCTTCGTTATCAAATGCTAGTATCTCGATTATAGTATTATGCTAACAGCAAAGTGCAAACTTCGCGCTTGCTTTAGCTATATCGTTTTACTTCGATTTCGGCAAAAAAAAACAAATATCATTCACACAATCATGCAAGTCATATATAACTATTCATCTGCTCGGGCTGAAAAATATAAATAAAATTATAGAGCGGACTGGAGCCCCAGACAACTATTCTATATATGATATATCATGTTGACGCGCCAACATACTTTAAAAAGCAGCGCACAAAAAGTATCAAAATCTGTAAATATCTGTAAAATCTAGTCTGTAAATTCAATTCTATTCAATTCCCTCTGAAAGCCCTGTACATTCTATCATTTAAAATCTTTGATTTCCCTGCCAATCCAGATTATTCGCCCTGCCAATCCAGATGATTTGTATTTTGGGGAGGCGACGTCATCCCCCACCAAACTTTCGCCCCTGCGCGTCGCCATATTAATTCATGTGTCCTGATTTTGCTGACTTGCAGTTGTTCAATTTAATGTGTAGTTTTAATAGTAAATTTGTAATAAGTAGACGATAACAGTTGAACAGAAGGCCCAGTGTAAGAATAGCGTTGCTAAACTGGTTTTGTATAATTGCACCTTCTTTACATAAGGTTTATTATTATTATTATTATTACTATTATTATTATTATTATTATTATTATTATTATTATTATTATTATTATTATTATTATTATTATTATTATTATTATTATTATTATTATTATTATTATTATTATTATTATTGTTGTTATTATTATTATTATTATTACAAGTACGTACGTAAATGGCTTGAAATACCTATATCAGGAACTCTATCTAACGTCTACCTTACCAGTAACAAGTTTGGTCTAAATATCTACCCGCCGTCAATTAAGTTTGTTCAGTGCCAAACAGTTGCTCGTAACGCCTTAAAGACCTCTCCAAATCATTCCATAAAAGACCTCTGGAAAACAACATCTGAAAGCAAAAACATTCAGTACGACGTCTACACCTCGACAAAGGAAGTCCTTAAAACTTTTACCTCCGGACAAGAAGACAAACTGCAGAATCATCTGATTTTGCAAGGCTCCTTCTTCTCAAATGTCATTAAGTTTTCACTGTCGAAATTAAACGGTATATGGTCTAAATCCCAATCAAACCTCCCAAAGAACATCTATAACTTCACCATTCGTTACATTAATAACTCACTTCCAACTCGTAAAAACCTTACTAAATGGGGAATATTGTCCAACTCTGATTGCTCCTTCTGCTTAAACCCTGAAACCCTTTTACACGTAGTTGCTGGATGTCAAACGTACCTCCCACGATTTACATGGAGACATGATTCTGTTCTGAACTTCATAGCACAAACGCTACAACCTGTAAACAACTGCAATCTTTTCGTCGATCTTCCTGGTTATAAAAGCCCATCAATTGTAACTGGTGACACATTCCGCCCAGACCTACTTCTATCTATCAACTCGGATTGTCTCTATATCCTTGAACTTTCTGTTGGCTATGAGTCTAATCTACAAACAAATGTTGATCGGAAAAGAAGAAGATACGAAGATCTCATTACACAGCAAAAGAAACAATTTAAGTCCGTAAAATTTGTAAATTTGTCAATTAGTTCTTTAGGCGTTTTCTCAAAAGAATGTCATTCCTTTTTAGATATGTTAACTGATCTAGGTCTTGATAAAAGACACCAATATTTCGCTATCAGGAAAATTATGTCTATCGCGATCAGGACAACATATTATATATTTTGTTGCAGAGATAAGGACTGGTTAAATCCGGAATTACTGAACATTTAAGGATACTCATTATTAATATATAAATATTAAGTAGGTTCAAGTAGTCAATTATAAATTACCTAAATTAGTGAGATTTATAATTGTATATATACGTATATAATTTCAATAAAGTTTCCATTATTATTATTATTATTATTATTATTATTATTATTATTATTATTATTATAAGTATTATTATTATTATTATTATTATTATTATTATTATTATTCACGTCGTCGCTGGATGCAAGACCTACCTAAATGAAGGACGTTTCACGTGGCGTCATGATTCGGTGCTTAACTTCATAGCATCCATACTCAAATCTGTGGACCATTCTGACCTTTCTGCTGACCTTTCTGGCTATATCAGTCCTGACCATCTGTTCTCACCGGAGATGAATTGCGCCCTGATCTTTTGATAACACTTGAAAACAAATGTATTTATATACTTGAACTTACCGTCGGATTTGAATCTAATCTCCTCACTAATGCAACTCGAAAAAGACAAAAATATCAAGATCTAATTAACGAACAGCTCCAAAATTGTGAAAAAGTAAAATTTGTAAATTTATCAATTAGCTTATTACGAGTTTTCAGCAACCCGTCGCTAGATTTCACCGAAATGCTGAAGGATCTAAAGTTTGATGAACAATGTAGAAAGTACTATGTTCGGAAATTATTAACATATGTATCAGGTCCTCGTATTATATATTCTGTAAGCGTAACAAAGAATGGGATAACCCACAACTATTGTCATACTAATATTGTTATTATGTAGAGTGTTAATTCAAGTAGACACTGGTAAACTACCTGTAAAGAGACGTTTATCATTGTAGTTTGTATATAAATATTATAGAAAGTAATAAAGTTTCCATTATTATTATTATTATTATTATTATTATTATTATTATTATTATTATTATTATTATTATTGCCCTGAAAAGCTCAACTTCTATTAGCTACTAATGTGTGACAGTGTAGATAACGGACCTGCTTTATTCAGAGAACTGTTGTCTTATTTATTAAGTGTAGTTAGGTAAAATTTGGTCTGGACTCATAAATGTATGACTATATGGGTCAGGCTATGTAATTGATTTGTAACGGTTTAAAAAATTATTATTATTATTATTATTATTATTATTATTATTATTATTATTATTATTATTATTATTATTATTATTATTATTATTATTATTATTATTATTAATATTATATTCCACGGTCATGGAACAGTTTATACGAGCTACGTGACAAACGTAAACAAACGCTCGGAAACTTTTGCGATTTGTGGTATGGTTGGACAATGGCTGTAATAAGTTCAAAAGTTCATCTATAAAAAGTTCAAAACTTCGTCTACTTCGCTCACTGGTAATTTACGACAAAATTTATTTGCAACAGCTTTGCATTCGTGAACCGCATCTTTTGGACAATTGAGTTGGAAAACTGTGAACAATAATCAATATAATAGTTTTGTTGGTGGAAACACCACGTAAATTTATTGCTGCAAAGCTAATAATAATAATCAATATGTTTCCTTAATTTTCAATTAAAAAATTTGCTATTACCGTAATGTCTTTTCAGAAACATTGCACTATCCTTGGATCCCTAGTTATGACATTCTATTCTAGAAATACATGCATTAATGATATAATTATTTGATTATTAAAAACAATTATAATGGTTGCCATTGTAATGTGCAAATAAAATTATGGAAAAAATAAACAAACTGACTAATTTATTAAAGACTAAATAATAAATAATTTATTTTCAAAATCCTGAATGTAGTTTTGTCTTTCATTATTGGCTTTAATTCAATGTAAAATAAGAGGATAAAATGCTTCGAAACCCTGGCGTGAAGCTATGTAGCTGGGTTAAAGGACAATGGCAACTAAAATTTTTATTTGCTATTTCAATCCTACTTGACAACCAGTTATGAAAATATTATCATTTCCTTCTCGAACATTTTAGTCTACGAGTAAAATGCATACAAACTTTGTGTTTCGCCGCCATCTTGGAAAAATTTTTTGAAAAATTATCACGAAGGTCAATGAACTTTGTTACGTCATTGGCTGGGTAGCATCAAAACTAACAGGGGAGAATTCTATTTGGTGCGTGTTATGTTAGCTAAAAATATGTCGTTTTGAGTGTTATACTGGCCAACACTCTTCGCAATCAAACAAGAGAAGTCTACACTATCAGATAAAAACATTTTGAGCGACTGGGAAAGCAAGGAATGGCGCAATTTGCAATACAGGTTTAATTGATCATAAAATATTGCATTAGTATTTCATTTGCCTTGTTACACTCGAATTTCTGTGCTTATTTAACACGGAGTAGGATATATACTATGAGAAATAGTGTTAGCATACGTGCATACGTGCTTATTTTCAAAATGGCGGACAACTGTTGAAATTTTCTCAAATTCAATCAAATTTTCTCGACAACTAAACGCGACAAACCGGCCAAAATATGAAATTAAATATTCTGTAAGTATACCTAATAGATTCAAGTAATAAAAATTTTGGTTGCCAATGTCCTAAAAAATCGTTCTGCCGACAAATAGCTTGCTCGAAATACAGCAAAATAATTTGCTTTATAGGCACAAGCTTTTACTTGAGTTAGATTTTGGCCAAGCCGCATTTGCTGAGGTATAAAAGACCATTACAGGCACACATAAAAACACACTGCGTTGGATGAATTGTCCTAAAAGAACAATAATAATCACTGCAATTTCATGCAAATACCAGCTGGCGTAAAAACATACTATTGAGTTAAGAATGACTTAAAAATATCGACGATATGAATATAATCAACACAAAGCTGGTACGATATGGAATTGTACTACTGAAACGTTTACACTTACCCAAACATAGCCAAGACAAGGATTAAATAATCAAAAACACCAGGTTCGTCTTGGCTTGCTTCAGCTATAATCGAAACAATTCGGAAAAATATACTGTAAAACAGCACAATATGTCGTTGCAAAATGAAAAAAAACTTTTTGCCAGAGCTTGTACTCGCGCATGCGCTTGTACTCGCGCAATATATATATATATATATATATATATATATATATATATATATATATATATATATATATATATATATATATATATATATATTGACTCTATCAGTGATCTCACTGGTGCATCAACTTTTGAGTATGTCAGAGAATTTTGCAAATAAAATTATATCGTGATAAATAGTAAAAGGAGCATTTACAGCTTCTTGGGCAGCTTAGTGACTCTTACCTTAAATGTAATAGGACCTCCTTCCTCCTTGCGTCAAGTGAAAAAGCATAACTCGATACCCGCGTATTAAGCATTCAAAGTTGAAACATGGCAGCCAGGACACTCTGTACCTTTTTAGTAAGCGCAACGAAATCGAATCGGCTTTGGTATAGTAAATTGCATAAAAATTACTTTTCATAATTATCCAATATTCCAGCAAATACCAGAAATTTTACATTAAAAAACTTACGAAATTCCATAGAATATTATATAGTCAGTGACCCAAATTTTGAAAATCTACACGCTTCGTAATAAACTCTGTCTTTAAACCAGGAAGCCGTGGATACTGCTTTACGGGAAGTGAATTTGAAATTGAAGAATGAGCCGTATGTTGCCGTAACTGCAATTGGTAGAGAAGGAAGCTTGGGAAAGGCAGCCATCAATGCCAATGCGATGCCTTGGGCAAGCATCAGTGATCGTGATCACGATCATGTTATGGTCCTAAGATGGGCCACGCAACCAGATGAAAATCTTAATGAGGTCGAGATTGAATGAATCACAAAAAATTGATATCAATGGCTGTTGTGCAGGATTTGCCATATATATATATATATATATATATATATATATATATATTTATATATACATATATATATATATATATATATATATATATATATATATATATATATTATTGATATTATTG